GAAAGTTTGCTTCTTCGAACCTTGTCCCACAGTGAGGATGTTGTACTTTTTGTCTTTCATTTATGACATAAAGTAGTAAAACATTATTTTGATTAGAGAATCAAAGGAAGTAGAACACAACTGATTCATAGATCATTTTAGTTGAGGCACTTCTGGTTTACCTTCTTTCCTGAAAGAGACTAGCAGGAAGCTATTTGCTTCCTGTTGGTCTCTGTACACAGGCATATAAAGTAGTTCCTTTCTACAGAAAGTTGGGGACTTAAAGCAAACTCTTCCTTGGTTTATCCTTCAAAGCATTATAAAGCATGGTTAAGGAAGTGTATCAAGTCTCTCTTTTCTCTATAATATAGTAACTAGTATCATTGAAAGTTAGCTTAATTTCTCATAAAAAAGCAATAGTTCAGGCTTCCCTGGTGGCGCAGTGGTTGAGAGTCCGCCTGCCGATGCAGGGGACATGGGTTTGTGCCCCGGTCCGGGAAGATCCCACATGCCGTGGAGCGGCTGGGCCCGTGAGCCATGGCCGCTGAGGCTGCGCATCCGGAGCCTGTGCTCCACAACGGGAGAGGCCACAACAGTGAGAGGCCCGTGTACCGCAAAAAAAAAAAAAAAAAAAAAAAGGAATAGTTCATTGAAAATCCTTGTATCTCTTTACAGTGATAACCTTGGATTATAGCCATTATGTTCATCTCTGACTGCATTATACCCACATGTTATCATATATACTTCATACTCTGTTGAAATAAAATGTGCTCAGAAATAGTCTTTTATTGGATAATCTATTACCAAACCAATGGCAATAGAAAGTCCAGAGTTGTTGCATAAACGGATATGAAGTCAATTAATGTAAGGTATGTATTTTATGTATATTGTAAATGTTTTGCTAAAAAAATTTCTTAGTGTGATGGGTACTACATTTGTTATAAAATTTGCTAAACAAATTTAAACAAGTCCTTAAGTTTCAGAAATATTCCCCCACATTGCTTAAAAATAACAGCACATTGTGAGGAATTTGTCACACATCACATTTGTATTTTCAATATTAATTCATACTGCTGTGTCTGATACTTTCATGTCCTTAAATACTTGACTTCTGTTTCTTTATTAGAACAATAACTTCAATATTGCTTGTATCCTTTATGTAAATTTTAACTTTTAAAATATTGGAAACTGAAAGAAGATATTTCTTTACACAGGTGCTGATGGGAAGGGTGCCTGACAGGGGAGGACGGCCGAATGAAATTGAACCACCACCCCCTGAAATGCCCCCTTGGCAAAAGAGACAAGAAGGCGGCGGAAGGGGTGGTTGGGGTGGTGGAGGTGGAGGTAGAGGAGGTGGTGGGAGTGGAAGAGGCGGTTGGGGAGGGGGAGGGGGAGGGGGGTGGGGTGGAGGTGGAGGAGGGGGTGGTAGAGGAGGAGGTTTCCAAGGCAGGGGAGATTATGGTGGAAGAGGGGGCTATGGAGGAAGGGGGGGCTATGGAGGAAGAGGTTATGGAGATCCATATGGAGGAGGTGGAGGAGGTGGTGGTGGATATAGAAGATATTAAAAGCTACAGCATTTAGATAGCAGGCTTACTTCTTAATAGATACATTAGGCATAGTGTTCTAAATAACTACTTGAATGTCATCTTTGAAGTAAACACCATGTTAGATTCCCTGATGATATCATTCTTGAATTGGGTTTAGTATGTAAAGAGCATTGTTTTATACTACTATTTGATCTCCTAGACAAAGTGATGATTTTTTCTGTATTCTGTGTACTCTTGAGCATGTTGTCTTTTTAAAAAACAAAAAAAACAAGCAAAAATTATTTTTAAAAGTGTAAATATATTATTACCATCAAACTTGGAAAATAGAAAGTATTTTATTGTCATGATTGAATTTAGATTGTTACCTGTATTTTATTCAGGTCTGAAACACATAAATGACCCCACTTGTAGTGGAAAGGAATATAGACTATTGCCTCATCTGTATTCCTGTGGCTGTGTTTTGTGTTTGTTAATCCTACTTTACAAAACAGGGAAAGGGACTGATTGATAGTTGTGTTCAGGAGGAAGATTTCTTGACTTTTTCTTTCTTTTATATGAGCAATTCCTCTGGCCAGGTTTGTGTTAAAATTCCATTAATTGAAGCTGAAGTCTGGTGTTTGCTATGCATATTTAATTTATTTTCCAACTGGATTTGAAATCTATATGGTTTTGTTTGACAGCAGAATTAAAGACTGAGGTCAGAATTACTCTAAAGGGACAAAGACATGTACTAATTTTACATGGTGGTGTGAAAGATATGTCTGTAAATTGGTTTCTTCATCATTTGTACCATCACTTTAGGTCTCCAAATATTAAAAGGCAGGCTGCACTGTGCTACACAGGATTAGGACACTCATATCCAGTTTCAGTAGATCAGAGGCAGGGCCAGGGTATCCCGTGGTAATTCTGATTCTCAGCTAGATTTGGGAAACAAAGGGTTGGGGAATGATTAAATGTGGTTTGGTGGTTGGAGCAGTCGAAGGCTTGAGAATCAGGAGTTGTGAATTCAAATCATGGCACTAGTCCAGGGGTGCTATGGGTTGAAATGGCCATAGCTCTCAAGGATTAATTTGTCCTCATTTGTCAAATTAGAAATGTGATACTTGTACCTTCTCAGGTTGTTTTATAAAGACCTAAGTACAAGTCCAATTTGTTGAGAATTTATAAAGGCCTGTTGTGAATGGTTTAAGAGGTGGCCCAAGTAATGCATTTTTCTCTTAGTGTAGAGAGAGAAAAAGATAGTCACATAAATGTTTTCAATCCCACTTTAAAATCTGTAGGCTCCTGGTCAACTCTTGTGCATAACAACTTTCTGTGGTCTAACCAACTCAACAGATAGAAGGCTGAGTACCTGTGGACAAATGGTATTTGATATTTGGCAGTGTTATTCTTGTTGTTGTTTTGTTTTACAGTAAACCCTGTGGAGAAATCTAAAATAATGTTAAACCTTCACATATTGTGTACACCGCAGTCTCGGCCATGTATTTTTCAAGCTAACCCTTTGAGCAAATTTGTTCAGGATAGGAAAACATAAATTTTTTTGGTTATTCTTAAGCTTAGATTTTAAAAAAATTTTACATGTAATGAAGAGACTTAATTTCATTTGTGATAGTTGAAGAAAAGCCTTTCCATATAAGGAAACAATTTTATCAGTAGCTATGAACTCTGAAAAATAAATAATTTTTAAAAATATATACGCAAAGACCACTGGAGTAAAATATTTCAAAAAAGTTATTACTTAAACTCTTCATTTAAAACCTTTACATTTCTGCTTCATTTCTTTTTAGGAGCTTTAGTTGCTGATACAGGACGGGTTTACAACTACTTTCAGCTTCTTTTATTACTAAAGGTTTATGGCTAATAATGGTAGAAACATTAGTTTATTAATTTCTGTAAGATTTCTTTGTACCTTCATAGGAGTGCTGTTGGGTTATCTGCTACTCACTGTAAATCTTATCCAAGTTTAGCACTTGCTCCTGGAATCTTGTTGGAGCCGGAACCACTCTTATTTACACATTCCTATAAACTTCACTTGAATGAAAAGCTGAGTGGTCTAGAACCTAATATCTTATTCTTTCCTGTGAGGTAGGATTTTCATGAAAATCTTCTTTCAGTAAAAATTTCTTTCATAGAAAAGTTTGCTAAGCAATATCTAGAATAGCAATAAGGCAATTTGGGGCCTTAATGTGAAAGGCCATAATGTGAAAATGCTTTTATAAATTGAATGCAATACAAATGCAGAGTATGATGAATGGCACTTCACTGCTTCCTAAAATCTAACACCTTCTTCTGTGCCACCTCTTCATCATTCTTTTTTGCCTAGTTCTTAATCTTATTTTTTTCCTACTACCTCATTTTCCCTCCCCTTTTTTCTTCTCCCTGCCTTGGTCTATCCTGTGGTATCTAATAGCACCTATAGACATGATCTTACTGGGAGTTTCTGGATTAAAGAAGTAACTGACCTGTTACCTGGATTTGTCCATCCATACATAATTACCACAACATTACACATAAGCTCTCGGTAAAAGAAGAGATGAAGTATTTCCTTTTAACCTGTTCCCTTGTGTTCTGCAGATCAGGGAAATCTTGCCTCACTAAACAGAAAAAAACATCTTAAACCAAAAAGCATTTAATTACCTTTATGTGTGTCAAAAGAAGGTATGATAACCCCCAAAATATTTGTGATGGAGAATGTTCTGAGGAATGATACAATCTATACCTTGTAAGGGGCACAGGGTAGAGAGATTTGGAGTGGGAATTGTGGGTGGAGGAGAGGGTAGGTAGTTTAATCTCTCTTCTAGGGCCAAGTTGTCAGTGTGACTTCATTGTTTTGTATGAAGGACTATGAAATGCCAAAATGATAAATATACCACATCCAAGTGTACCAGAATACATTCCACCATGGAATTTGAGTGATTGGAATATGTCCCTGTTCTCCCCCCCCACCCCCCTTCATTGGTCTAGTTAAACAAAAGTTGGCTGATCATTAAGGAAAAATCACAGCTATCTCTAATCACTCTAGATAATCATGAGCATAAATGAATTGCTCTGGGTGATCTGTCCACTAGATTGAACCATCCTCTACCAATTCCATCCATAGCTTCAAAGTTTCTCTTCTTTACTTGCTAGTTTTCTTAGATAGAACTGTGGAATTAAAGCTGAAAGCCACAGGAATGACAACCTCAGATTTGTCTCCTTCAGTGTTAAGTATTTGTAGATATAATATTTGGGGATCACTGTAAGTCATTATGCAATAAGATGGGAAAAGGTTGAATATTTCTATATGTTACTACTTCATGTTATAGAAAGATTTAGAAAAATGTATACTGAATAATTAGTTGCTTTGCTTTTCCTTTCAGGAAGACTCAGTTTGGTTTGGTTAACAGAAGTAGGGAGTGGTCTCAGCTGTCGATTATAGTAAAAATTCAGGTGAGGCTTCTATATGTTCATGAACTAGAAGAAACACAGGACATCTATGCCGTAGGGATCCTGATGTCTTTTATCATACAAATATTACACAAAGAAAACTTACATTAGGTATCAAAAAAAAACCACCTTTACAATCTGTACATTTGTTTTTTCCTTGCAGTTCTTTTACATTATACATCTTTAAACAGAAATTCACATTTGGCCAGTAAAACAGCAAATCAATTACCAAAGAAAATAAGAAATGACACTTTTGTTAACAAGATTTGTCCTTGTTTCAGCAGATAAATATATGCCCAAATTTATTTCAAGTTGATACAAGACACAAATTTGTATCCTAGGCTTGATGAACAAAAAATTTGTTTCATATTATTTCCGTAGATTTCATTAATCCCATGTAGTTCAGAGCAAATAATATTAATTTATACACTATACTTATTTGGCCCTTGCTGGACTGTAAAGACTTGTGGTGAAACTACTGCTTCCTATCCATTTCAGTGATAAATTCTGGAATGCTTGAGACTTTCTAGCCATGTTAATTTGACTAATTAAGGAGACTGTGACCTTTTGAATTCCTCTAGATCACAAATTATTTACATAGAAACTAACCTGGGCTCTGTATTTTGGATCCTGGGTAACAAGAATGAAAAAAATTTAATTGTGTTTCATAACTATGCTTAAAGAAATTGCATTGTACCGTCTTTGGTCAGAGGAAAAGAATAGGTGAAGAATATGAATTTTAAGGATGATTATAAACTCATATTTGTTCCACATAAGGTAAATAAGTAGCAAAGTACTTCTTACAGGATTATATACCAAGTGGTGGACCTAAGCAGCCCTGCCATGGGGATTTCCGAGTTTGGATTTAGAAAAAGGTAGATTTGTGTGTAAAGTGATTCCTTAAATCACTAACTGAAAGCTAGTCACTAGCTTTTTCACTAAAGCTCAGTTCAGTACAAGGAGGTATGCAAATGGGAACTGGTCTTTCATCAAAGAAACTTCTTAAATGATATGAATTCTCCAAGGAAGCTTATACTATATATATAATTTGTTTCTGATTAAGACTTGGTGTTGTTGGCTTTAGGTTTGGAACTTTTGGTTGCTGAGATTATATGCTTGGCAGTTGGTCAACTTGTGTATGAACTTTAAGTCAGCTTGGTGTCAGGCTTTCCAAGCATGGAAGGTAAGTTCTCCCCACCAAAAGAAAATGATCATATGAATTCTTTTTAGAGAAATAAAGAGTCTGACAAAGAAATTTGTGAATAGTTGCCCAGATAATTAAATGAGCCCATTTATCATTAACCTTAACAGAAAACTCACAGGACTCTTGTGATTTTGCCAAACAATACAATTTACATTCTGAGCAATTTCTTGATCTTGTAGCAAACTGAACTTCGTGAATTTGTGTACATGACCAAAAGTCGTTTAACTCACACATTTTACTAAGGAAGAAACAGAATTCCAAGCCACATGCATGACTGATGTTGTATATACATAATATGTACATATGTACATGCTGTCAGCTGTTATTGAAGCCTCTGATCCAATTAGCTTATTTCTAAATAGTATTAATAGTGAAGACAGTACAAGCTCAAATTCAGTTCAGAAACTTCAAGAAAAAAAAAATAGGATGGCATATGAGAGTTAAACATTTTTAAAAAGCCATAAATTCTTCATTCTATCCAGTGTAGATTATATGAGGGACAAACATCATGTTTGCGTTATGTTTGTTTTAGCTAATTAGCCAGCCATGTGTGAGGTGCTAATAGCCACATTTCCAGGTACTTAACTTGGCTACTTCTTTTATGACTCAGACTATAACTATGAGTTGACCTGTAATTGGATGATGTCATGTTGTTTAATAGTCCCTTCCTGCTCTCCCCAAATTTATGGCTGCATCTCTAGAAGTTCTCTTCTAAGTAGATATCCTCATGTGTGTTAGAACGTAGTGAGGAAGAAGGGGAAAAGGCAAATTGATTAGATCTGAGGTAGTGAAGTGGGAACCAGATTTGTAAAGAATGCTGAAATATAGAGGAAGCGGTTCTACTTTTGGAATGTGAGTATTTTTCCACTATAAGCAAGCTTTGGATGGAACAAAATAAATGCCTCAGGAAAAAATGGGAAGGAAACAAATTCATTTTCCAGGGATTTTAGTTCTAAGGAAGAAGCAGCTGGGCAGGCCACATAGAAGCTATCTTGTCAGAAAACTATAGTCATGTTTTTTATCATGCTTTTGATATTAGTCCCGGTGGTGGTGGGGGGGGGTAAATTCTGGTATGAATGGCAAATACTTTGCATTCTTCAGCTTTCCTCCCTTTGATTCAACTGGCTGGAAGAGAAAACCATACCACACAGTTGGAATCTTTTAAGTAACAGAAGAGTAACCAGCTTTCCTTCTTTAAAGTACCCTTTTGAAAGCCAGTCAGTCTAAGGTTTCCCAGGTCTTTGTGTTAAGAGTTTTAAGAAATGAGATCTCTGATACACTCTGCAGTTTGTGCTGCTTGAGTTTCTGGGCTAAGAACAGTCACCCTGCTCCATCTGAGCCAAGACATGATTGCTTCTTGCAAGCTGGAGGGTTTCTATTTTCTTCTGTGCATATTTCAGTTGGATCTTTAGAGCATTATTATCTGCTTTCAGGGTGTTTATTTCCTTTAAAAAAAAAAAAAGAATGAGGTATGTTAATAAAGCAGCAACGAATGGCAAATCAGTTACAGTACTGGGAGTACTACACTTGATTGGCATCTATTCACTGTGGCTGAGAATTAAAAAGTGTTTTCAAGGCATGTATTTTGCCCTGAATAAAAAATAACACATTAAATATCAAATGAGCATGTGTAAACAACAATTAGTTTTGTTACATCAAAGATGTGAGTGGCTAGCAGGCAGAATAAACCATTCCTGGGCAATAGATGAATAATGAGAAAATCTTTGAATATTGTGTAACAGACCTAAACTTGGCAGAAATAGTCTTGGTCAGGTCTGAGGTATGAAAGCAGTGACTTGGAATTCTATAATATGTGATATTATAGTTCACATGCGATATTACATATATAATCATATTACATATTTTCTCCTCCAAATCATTGAAAACTAACAGACTCTTGAGAAAGATAAGAATTTTATCCCATCCCCGTAAACTGGGATTTATTTAATTTGCAGTGATTTAGTTATAGAGGCAGCTGTTGATTTCCAGTGTTGTAAGTGGCAGAATTTTATTCTTTGTTTATGGCTGAGTAATATTCCATTGCATGTATGTATATGCATATATATATACATACATCTTCTTTATCAATTCATCTGTTGATGGACACTTAAGTTGCTTCTATATCTTGGCTATTGTAAATAATGGTAAGAACATTGGGGTGTGTGTATCTTTTTGAATTAAATGTTTTCATTTTCTTTGGATATATACCCAGGAGTGGAATTGCTGGATCATATAGTAGTTTTTTTCAGTCTTTTGAGAAATCTCCATAGTGTTTTCCATATTGGCTGCACCAATTTTCATTCCCCCCAGCAGTGCACGAGGGTTCCCTTTTCTGAACATCCTCATGAGCACTTGTTATCTTGTGTTCTTGATGATAGCCATCCTAATAGGTGTGAGATGATATCTCATTGTGGTTTTTTTTTTTTCTTTTTTTTGCGGTACACGGGCCTCTTACTGCTGTGGCCTCTCCCGTTGCGGAGCACAGGCTCCGGACGCGCAGGCTCAGTGGCCATGGCTCATGGGCCCAGCCGCTCCGCGGCATGTGGGATCTTCCCAGACTGGGGCACGAACCCACGTCCCCTGCATCGGCAGGCAGACTCTCAACCACTGCGCCACCAGGGAAGCCCTCATTGTGGTTTTGAATTGCACTTCTCTGATGATGGGTGATGTGGAGTATCTTTTCATGTACCTGTCGGCCATTTGTATGTTTTCTTTGGGAAAAAAGTCTATATAATTCTTCTGTTTTGTAATCAGATTTTGTTGTTATTGAGTTGTATGAGTTCTTTACATATTTTAAATAACTCCTTACCAGATATATCATTTGCAAATACCTTCCCCCATTCAGTTGATTGCCTTTTCATTTTATTGATGGTTTCCTTGCTGTGCAAAAGCTTTTTAGTTAATGTAGTCCCATTTGATGATTTTTTGCTTTTGGTGTCATATCCAAAAATTCATTGCCAAAGACCAGTGACAAGGAGCTTCTTCCTTCATTTTTTTCAAGGAGTTTCATAGTATCAGGCTTCATGTTTACCTCTTTGATCCATTTTGAGTGAATTTTTATCAGTGGTGTAAGATGGGGGTCGAATTTCGTTGCTCTGCATGTGCTTATCCAGTTTTCCCAACAACATTTGTGAAGAGACTTTCCTTTCTGCTTGGATGCTCTGGGCTCCCTTGTTGAATATATTAGTTGACTGTATATGCAGGGGTTTAATTCTGGGCTCTTTTCTGCTCCATTGGTTTATGTGTCTGTTTTTGTGCCAGTACCATACTGTTTTTATTACTGTAGCTTTGTAGTATAATTTGAAATTAAGTGTGGTACCTCCAGCTTTGTGCTCTTGCATCAGGATTACTTTGGTTATTCAGGATCTTTCATGGTTCCATATAAATTTTAGGACTTTTTTTTCTATTTCTGTAAAGAATTCCATTGGCATTTTGATGAGGATTGCATTGAAGCTATAGATTGCTTTGGATAGTATGGATATTTTAAGTCTTTTAAAAAAATTTATTTTGTTGAAGTCTAGTTGATTTACAATGTTGTGTTAGTTTCTGCTATACAGCAAAGTAATTCAGTTATACACATATACATATTCTTTTTTCATATTCTTTTCCATTATGGTTTATCACAGGATATTGAATATAGTTCTCTGTGCTATACAGTAGGACCTTGTTGTTTATCCATTCTGTATGTTAATAGTTTGCATCTGCTAATTCCAAATTCCCAATCGACCCCTCCCCCACCCCTCCCCCCTTGGCAACCACAAGTCTGTTCTCTGTGTCTGTGAGTCTGTTTCTGTTTCATGGATAAGTTCATTTAGGTCATATTTTAGATTCCACATATGGTAAGTGATATCATATGGTATTTTTCTACTGACTTCACTTAGTATGATAATCTCTAGGTCCATCCATGTTGCTACAAGTGGCATTATTTCATTCTTTTTTATGGCTGAGTAGTATTGCATTGTATATATATATATATATATATACACCACTAAATCCATACTATATTTTTATCCATTCATCTGTTGATGGGCACTTAGGTTGCTTCTGTGTCTTGGCTGTTGTAAATAGTGCTGCTGTGAACAGTGGGGTTCATGTATCTTTTTGAATTATAGTTTTGTCCAGATATATGCCCAGGAATGGGATTGCTGGATCACATGGTAGTTCTACTTTTAGTTTTTTAAGGAACCTCCATACTGTTTTCCATAGTGGTTGTACCAATTTACATTCCCACCAACAGTGTAGGAGGTTCCCTTTTCTCCACACCCTCTCCAGTGTTTATTATTTGTAGACTTTTTAATGATGGCCATTCTGACCAGTGTGAGGTGGTACTGATTTTCATTTCTCTAATAATTAGTGATGATGAGCATCTTTTCATGAGCCTTTTGGCCATCTGTATGTCTCCTTTGGAAGGAAAGAATTCAGGTCTTCTGCCAGACCTTTTAGCAATCTTAATTCTTCTGATCCATGAACACAGGATGTCTTTCTGCAAAGTCTTGTAGTTTTCATTGTAGAAATCTTTCATTTCCTTGATTAAATTTATTCCAATTTTATTGTTTCTGATGCTATTGTGAATGGGAAGGATTTCTTTTTCAGATGTTTCGTCCTTAGTGTATATAGAAATGCAACTGATTCTATAAGTTGACTTTGTATACTGCAGTTTAACAAAAAATGTTTATTAGTTTCAACAGTTTTTTTTGCTTAATCTTTAGGTTTTTCTATATACAGACTCATCATCTGCAAACAGTGACAGTTTTGCTACATCGTTCCTGATTTGGATGCTTTTTTACTTTCTTGTCTTGCCTAATCGCTGTAGCTGAGACTGTCAGTACTTTAGGTCATATTTTAGATTCCACATGTAAGTGATATTATATGGTATTTTTCTGACTGACTTCACTTAGTATGATAATCTCTAGGTCCCTCCATGTTGCTGCAAGTGGCATTATTTCACTTTTTTATGGCTGAGTAGTATTGCATTGTATGTACATACACCACTAAATCAATACCATATCTTTATCCATTCATCTATTGATGGGCACTTAGTGGTGAGAGTGTTCTTGATCTTGGTGGAAAAGCTTTGAAATTTTCTCCATTGAGTATAATGTTAGCTGTGGGTTTGTCATATATGGCCCTTATTATGTTGAGGTTTATTCCTTTTATCCAGTCTGAGCAGGGTTTTTATCATGAAATTTTGTCAGATGTTTTTCTGCATCTGTTGAGATGACCACATGATTTTTATCTTTCATTTTACTAATGTGATGATTACATTTATTGATTTGCCTATGTTGGACTGTCTTTGCATGCTAGGGATAAACCCTACTTTTCATGGTGTATAAAAATCTTTTTGATGTGTTCTTGAGTTCAGTATGCTAATATTTTGTTGAGAATTTTTGCATGTATAGTCATCAGTGATACTGGTCTGTAGTTTGGTTTTCTTGTAGTTTCTTTATCTGGCTTCGGTATCAGGGTAAAACTGCCCTCGCAGAATGAGTTTGCAAATATTCCCTCTATTTTTTGGAAGGTTTTAAGAAGGACTGGTGTTAATTCTTTGAGTATTGGGTAGAATTTGCCAGTGAAGCCGTCTGATCCTGGGGTTTTCTGTGTTGGGAGGATTTTGATTACTGATTCAAAGACTTTGTTACTGGTCTGTTCAGATTTTCTGTATTTTTCTTGATTGAGTCGTTTGGTTGTATATTTCTGTAAACGTATTCATTTCTTCTAGGTTATCTAGTTTGTTGGCATATAATTACTCATAATAGTCTCTTATGGGCCTATGTATTTGTGTAGTAACACTTGTAATGTCTCCTTTTGTCATTTTAATTTTACATATTTGAGCCTTCTCCCTCCCTTTCTTTCTCTCCCTCTCTTTCTGGCTGTGTCAGGTCTTAGTTGCAACACGCGGGATCTTCGTTGCGGCATGTGGGACGTTTCATTGCAGTGCATGGGCTCCAGAGCACGTGGGCTTAGTTGCCCCACGGCATGTGGGAATCTTAGTTCCCTGACCAGGGATTGAACCTGTGTCCCGTGCATTGGAAGGCAGATTCTTTACCACTGGACCACCAGGGAAGTCCCTCTTTTTTCTTAGTGTGAATAAAGGTTTGTCCATTTTGTTTATCTATCTTTTGTCAGTGTACATGAAGCTTTGGTTTGCTGTGGCACAACTGGCTGTTTTAAGAGCAGTTACTGCTAAATGATTATCGATTTTATCTTTTTTGTCGATCCTTTCTATTTGTTTTTCTGGTCTCTATTTTATTTATTTCCAGTCTGATCTTTTTCCTCCTGATAGCAGCAAGTTGACGTGGGGCAGGCTCACCAACTCCCTTGGCTTCACAGCCCTCTCTGAGGTCCTGTGAAGCTATTCTCTTCTCTGAAGAACAGGTGGGTAGAAATCTACTGGGTGGTCTGGTGTAAGGTGTAGAGTCACTTTTGTTCGTTTATGAATGACCAGTTTAGCTGTAAATAAAAGGAGAGAGAAAAAAGGAGCAACACATGCCACCATGATGCTGATGTTGCTGGTCTTCAAGACTTTGAATCTCGTGTTTTTACCTTACTTATACCATACTGATTACCCCCCAAAATATGGGAGGGTAATTTGGGATACATGAGTTGTTTCTCAACATAAATTACCTAGATAGCTGTCTGGTAGCTACTGTGTAATATTGAGTATTTGCTATGTGCCAGGTACTGTGTTACATGATTAATAGAGGTGGATATAGTATCAGACTGGGGATTTGAACCTAAGAGACTTTGCATTTTCTTTTGTCCTGTGGTGGCTTAGAGGTATACACATACTTAAAATAATGTATAATATTTATTAATTATAATATGAATATTACATATTATTTTAAATACTCTAAAACATGCATAGTGAATTCTGGTCCTTAGGTCCCAATGACAAGGATAAAAGTAAAGAGGGTTTACCAGCTCTGGTATTACCGGGTAGGAATGAATACTGGACCTAACTAACTCAGTCACCTGAAATCTTTCTACCACCCACTTCTTGCAGCAAGAAGTCACTGTTGCCAACAACTACATTGCTCCTTTTACACGGCATGTAAAATGTCAGCATCTGAAGCAAGCTGTAGAGCGCATGGACTGTATTTTACAGAGGACCAAACAGGTCACAGAGTTTATCAGCGGAGTAAGAAATATCTGGGACTAGAAGCACAGATCTTTGTCCCCAAGACTGAAGTTCTTTCTACTCTATCAAGTTCACTTTTCAAGGTTTCTTTCATTGTTCTTGAAAGTTGATTCTGGCTGCTTCTACCCCTAGAGAGGGCTTTGTGTCACCCGCATCGGAAGATGTTCTGATTGATTCTTAAAGCATGTCTTAAAATAGTCTGAGTGACTACTTTTATTCCAGAAAATCTGTTCTTTTCTCAAGCGTTCCTCCTAATATTATGTTTTTGTTCTAGGCACCAAACCAAGAGTTTCACGTACATTATCTAACATGTTTCTTCAATTCCTGGGGGTCTGACAGGGAAGGTGCAACCCTGAGGACCAGGTAGGGAATCCTGAGAAGCTCTTGGGCAGTTTTACTATGTAGTGTGTAGAATTATGTAAGGAATTCTAGCCAGTTAGATGTTGGTTTTGTGTTTGTACTGATTGATAGGCCTCCAAATGATGTTTTGGGGAAAAAAGGCAGACAGGCCTTACCTATCTTTGGTAAGAAACTACTGTCCCATGACAAGAGGTCTGTCTAAACCAGCTCTCACCCTGAGCTTTGTACTCTAAACAAAAAGAAGTAATTAGTGATGACCCTATGGCATTGAGTATTTGGACAACTGCCTGTTGTCCCCCGTTGTCCTAGCTCCTACTTTCTTTTTTTCTATTCTTAACCTTATTATCCCCCTTCTCATCAAACCTTGGCATCATATTCTTCTTGGTAAACCTTATTTTGTCTTTTCTAACACCTCCATTAGATAACTTATGATTAGGACATTGTGAGCCTAACAGATAAAAAGCAATTCTGCTACCACAACTGTTACAATTTACTACATTATATTGCTATAGATTATAATCAATGGTGCATTTTCCAACTACTGTTGATTTAGCTGTGTGTGTATGTAAAATCAGCACATCCCCTGATGTTTTAGAGAAGAGTTCCCTCATTCCGTATTAAGAAGGAGGCTTTTTCTGCAGTGAGCTAAATACTCCCTCCCTTTTTTTTGATAGCACGGTGCTCACCTCCTTTTAGGAAGATGTCCAGGCAACCATGAAGGCCCCCAAAGACCTCTAGGGAGGGAGGATTTAGGCAACTTGCTTTTAAGTCTAGAAAAAGGGTGTGGTGTCACCACAGTAAAGCTGATCAATAGAAAGTGGTTTTTCTCAAGGAGCCTACTGTGCACAGAGCTTTGGGCCCTGGTACCAGCACTTCGAGATTGTACCTTTATGGCAATAGGAGCCCTGTCTGTCCTGTCCTAGTTACATAATGTGAACCAGGGCCCCCACTGGTTTCTTTGAGACAAAGCAGAATCCTTTTTTTCCCCCTTTATCTTTCTAATAATCAACCTGGTCTGAATCTTCAGTTTACATGTTCTTCCCTGGTTGAGCCCCACTTTTCTCAGAGTCTGAAAAAAAAGGAAAAGAGGGTACCTGTTCCAGCTCTTGGTAGGTTGGGAGTCTGAGGTGACGGAGCTCCTCCTTTGATTTTATGAGGGATTCTTTATTCTCCCACTTGACGAAAGCCCGCTTTCTGACCAAGACTGGGCTGGGGCATGGAGATGTAGTGCTGGGAAGTACATACAGAGTATCCTGGGCCGTCTTCCTTGGGGAAGATAGCACAAAGTGACTGGAAGGGCCCTCACTGCCAAGCCAAGACAGTGCTTCGGTCTGGGTGGCCTTGTGGGCAACAGTCCTCTTCAACCGAACAGAAATCTTCTGTGAGGACACTCCCATGAGCATGATGGTCCGATCCTTACTTTCCTCATTGTGTTCCACAGCCTCCCCATTAGGGAATGTGAAAGGTCCTTCCTCTGGTGCTGTAGGAAGGTACGTGACATGTTAGTACTTTGGCTCAGAAGAGCAGAGACTCAATATTGACACATTAGTTTCAAATGAGACTTTTCTTATTGGTACAGGAGTTCCATAGGCCCAAAGTGGACTCATTTTCAAGCAGGCAGTTTAGGGGGTAAGGGGGCTGAAATCCAGGGGCCTTGCTGGCCAAGCTATGGCCACTGGTGTCAGGCTGCATCCACCCTGAGGAAAGGCCATCCTTAAAGGCTCCTTTTCTGTTGCTTTTTTCTATTTGCTTGCTTTCTTTTGCTCCCCAAAAGGTAGCGTGCCTAAGATTCCGTCCCAAGCTTTGTGTATGTCTAGGGTTTATAGTTACCATTTAATAGATAACAGTGATAACCAGTAGTCGGTTTTTTCACTACAAGCAGACCTTGCCAAATAGCACTTCTACAGCAATTTTCATTTGTTGCCCATGATACACCTATGTTTAACCTACCTATTAGTCTACTTCCTGGCAGTCCTCCTCTTGTCACTATTGGGCAAAGCTCTGGGGACTGGGGAGAGATGGTCTGGAGAAGAGAAACCTCTAGGTGCAGCCCCTTTCCAGGCTTCACTCTGAGGCCGCAGACCTTCATGGTGCTCTCTGCCACTTTTCTCCCAAGAAAGTCTGCATTGTGTGTGACAGAATTGTGGTGTCCACAGGTGAAATGGAACTCTTAAAATACAGGGTGCATAATATACAGGCATGTCTGTGGTGGGTTTTATTACAAGTAGGAAGGATAAAGGTAATCTTTCCTCCCCGAAAACCGTATTCTTCTACCTTCACTTCCCAAGATGAACATTCCCAGTGCTTGCTTACCATGGTGCAGATCTTTGGCTCCCAATGAGCAAAGGTTGGACGTTGGCCCCACAGAGGTGCTGTTCTCTGTGGGAGCTGTTGAGTTCTTGGCTCGCTTCTTGCACTCGAACACAACCAGGTCTTTGCATTGTTTGTGGCAGTTCATCCCGCAGTCTGTGGACAAGACACCCTGATCAGGAAGTCTTTCACTTTCTCCTCCAGGGTCTCAAAACCACATGCATGCAGTGCTCTCGTCACACATGCCTGTCCTGTCTTCTGGAGCTAGGACACTTAACACTTCTATTGAACTTAGCATTCTTCTCACTGGGTTGTTCTTCTCACAACCTTGTCACAGCCCTTATGAGTCTGGGAATCAGAAGTGGCATCCTGCTCTCCTAGACAGAAGTGGTGTTTTTCTTGGTCATCCTGCACATACTGCCTACTCTAAGGAGACCCTGGAGGCTCCCAGCTGTTAGGTCTTATTCTTTCTTCCTTGCAGTAAAAGGTCTTTTCTCCATTACTCCTGAACTTTTTTAGTCATAAGGAAGGACAATTATCCTGGGATATCTACTAATAAAAGGAAAGCTGACAAGGGCCTTTGGTATCACTTATCTTTTGTTTCAGAAGTGATTCTGTGCCTGTCTTTGGGGACCCATGACCATATGAGAGCATAATCTACCAGTCATCCCTATTTCCAGGGCAAACAAGGCAAAGTGAGGCTCTTGTAATGAGCTGCATAACTAGTCACCCAGATTCCTCTCTTCTTTGTGGTGGCAATCACTCTCAGGGGGTGCTCTAGGGAAGCCAGTTTGAAGATGAGGTTGTGAGGTGTGCTGAGAAGCTGTGGACTGAATGGACAACTACTATGGGTAGAGAGACAACACACTGGACAAAGCTGGGCCTTACCTTTACACCGATACCCTTGTTTGATCACTCCCCAGAGCTGTGGGACAAAGAAGAGACAGTTAGAATGCACCACAGGTCCTTCATCTACCTGGTAGGAGGCTAGACATCCATTCTTTGTTTTCCCTCATTCCACTCTACCTCAAGTGGGAAGGAAACCTCATTTATCTCTCATGTGTCTTAATCCCTCCTGGCCTTAAACTGAAAACAGGAGAAGTTTGTGCTGATCAGAGGTAAATGTTCTCAAGAAGCTTACTACAGTGGATTTATGACCCAGGCCTGAAGTGGATGAATCACAGGACAAATAGGCTTCTTGAGACTCCAAACTAAAGAGCAAGTATACAGAATCCTGGGGTCACGAACTGAGTTTAGGAGGAAACTGTTGGTAGGGGTGGGACAGGGGAGGGGCAGAGCCCAAGTGACTTCTTAAAAGGCAGTTCCTTTTGAAGGGGTGAGGATGTCTCATATTTCTCTTTTCTAACAGCATATGGATATAATACTTTAAAAGTATATCCCAAATTCAACATTTCCTCACCATTTATCCCAGGCCCTTCTACCAGAGGAGAAAATAAATCAGGAAGAAACGGGAAAAGACGAGTGCAAGTAAAACCCATGCATTTGAGGACGAGGTTATTGTAGGTGTTTGCTTAGGCTCTAGGCAGGAAGAGTTGATAAAGGTGCATGAGGTCTGTACCTGGCTTAATCACTTTAAACTGTCTCATACCCCTCCCCACGTTCAACCCCGAAGCACTCTGAGAACAACTCACAAATCCAGCACAGTTGTCACAGAAAGTGGGCTTCAGGTAGGTTGTCTCTTGGAAGTTGTGAGGAAAGCCCAGGCCCAGCTTGGAGTAGATGGAGCTGGCCCTCATGAAGTAGGCAGTGATCTCTTCTCTGCTGATGAGACCTTCCCTGCCCGCAAATGAGAGAGAAGGATGTGAGCGGGGCTGGGTAGCAAGGCAGCTTCTAGCCTTAGAACCTCACTCTTTTTATCCTTGAGGGGTAGTACAGTATGTAGTACCTGACACTTACTTCCATGAGCCTTCCTTTTAATAAGGATGTCTGGGTAGCATGTGTAAGGAGGTGAGATGGCATTACTCATTTCCACAGAGTCACTCTTTGGCTAAACCAGGTTTTCCTAACTAACTTAACCACTGTCCACAAGACTTGAAAAAGAAGTGATGGAAATGTGGGTACAGGGAAATACCTCATGCTGAGGCTTCTGACTTTACACAGCACCTACTAGATAACTGTAACCCACCAACCAAACATGTGGTTTCACACAGAGAACCAACTTCTTGAGAAAAGTAAATATGCAAAATATTAGTAAATATTAGTTGTTCCTCATAATCTGTAAGGACAAAGCAAGAAGGAAGACTAAACTTTTTCTTACTTACAGTTGACTAGACTATTCCTAAACTGGCAGAATTATGGAGTCTTCGCATTTAAAACATGCATTTTTCATGGTGAAGCTGGACAGGCATCTGCTTGATAATGGCTCTCTTAGCACTGAGATTCATTAAGTGACCACATCAGCAACACATCTGAGTTTACAAATTCTTCTAGTGACACACCCATAAAGCGTTCTTACCAACAGGTTCACAGCCACATATTCCCATACACAAACCCTCACCTGTCTTTGTCCATCACACAGAAGGAAAATGGAAAACTCGCAGCAATCTTTTCAAATTCTTCCTGGGAAATGTATCCATCCTGGTCATGATCATAGTTCTTGAATACAGACTGTGAAAAAGGAGTTTCTTTGGTGATTAAGAAAGAGAAACCAATCATAGCCAAATGACAAAGGGGCCAGAACACCCGTCTGAGAGGAACAAGGAAACCTGCTCCTTAAGCTGCTGCCGAGATTCAGTGGGCCACACCCCAGGTCTCTGCAGGTACCAGCATCTGGAGGGTGGCCAGATGCTTTCAATTCCATTGGCATGTCAATATGCCCTCACCCCAGCTGCTCTGTACTCCTGGCTCACTGCACTGAGGGATGTTCCCCCTTCACTCTGCCCTTTCTTCACTGCACAGCTCAGATTGCCACTTCTCTGTGTAGCTTCTACTAACAGCCCAGTCGGAAGTGCTCCCTACCCCCTCTTAATCCTCTACCAATTGTTCTGTCACTTGCTGGCTCGTTCTTTTCTTGTTACACTGGAATGGTCCACAGGATAAATGTAGAAATATGAAGGTATGTACCCCTCCTCAGCATTTAGCACAGTGAATTGAATCAAGCAGTGTCACACTTTTCAGTTTTAGATTCTCATCACCCTTACTTACACTCAAATCTTTTCCAACCTCTCTCTGCCCCCAAATCAACTGACAACCTTTAAATATATTATCTCTTGCTAGGCCTATAAGAGGTACACCTCCCCCAAGAAGAGGCCGAAGTGTGTTGGCAAAATGTAACTTCTGAACTGTTCTGCAGCCACAATATGAGAAGTAACTGGTTCCCTGTGCTCACATAGGAACGAGTTTCAAGTTTCTTACCTTTGTGTTTCTACCACTGCGCTCCCCTCTCCCCACACACAACACTAAGCCAGGCAATGCCTTGCTTTTCATCTGTGCAAACACAGCTGTACTTACATCTACCATCCTCTGGACGTGTTTGCTTATGGTCTTTGGATCAGGTTTGGGAGATACTCCAGAGGCCCAGTCCACAACTACTGGTGGCTTTGAAGGTGTTAGTGGCTAAAATGAAATATTCAGAGAAATCCCCATGACTATAATGCAATGCTATAACCTTAAGCTCCTTCCTTTCCCATTACCTGGTAGCTGCAGCTGTGGACAACCCTCAACCATGTGCAGTGGCAAGGAGCAGAGGGCCCGCACGTAACTGAAATCTAGAACAGTAACCTTGCCTAACACAAGTGTTGTGCTTTACAGTTTACAAAGAGCTCCTCACATACATTGTCTCCATCTAAGATAATTTAAAATTTTCAATATGCCTGGAGTTTCACTTCCCTCTCTATTAAAGCTTTTGTTGAAGCTATCGACAAAGAGTAAAGTAGATCATTTAAATTTTCTCTTTCTAAAGCAACTACAGAAAGAAGAACAAACAAAACCCAGTTAGTAGAAGGAGAGAAATCATAAAGATCAGAGCAGAAATAAATGAGATGGAGATGAAGAAAACAATAGCAAAGATCAATGAAACTAAAAGCTGGTTCTTTGAAAAGATAGATAAAATTGATAAACCTTTAGCCAGACCCATCAAGAAAAAGAGGGAGAGGGCTCAAATCAATAAAATTAGAAATGAAAAAAGTTGCAACTGACACCACAGAAATACAGACTACTACAAACAACTCTGTGCCAATAAAATGGACAACCTAGAAGAAATGGACAAATTCTTAGAAAGATACAAGCTTCCAAGACTGAACCAGGAAGAAATAGAAAATATGAACAGACCAATCTCAAGTACTGAAATTGAAACAGTGATTTAAAAACTTCCAACAAACAAAAGTCCAGGACCGGATGGCTTCACAGGTGAATTCTATCAAACAAAAAAAACAAAAAAAGAGATTAACACCTGTCCTTCTCAAACTCCTCCAAAATATTGCAGTGGAAGGAACACTCCCAAGCTCATTCTAGGAGGCAACCATCACCCTGATACCAAAACCAGACAAAGATACCCCCCCGGCCGCAAAAAAAAAAGAAAGAAATTACAGGCCAGTATCACTGATGAACATAGATGCAAAACTCAACAAAATATCAATACTAGCAAACCGAATCTAACAATACATTAAAAGGATCATACACCATGTTCAAATAGGATTTATCCAGGGATACAAGGATTTTTCAATATCTGCAAATCAATCAGTGTGATACACCACATTAACAAACTAAAGAGTAAAAATCATATGATGATTTCAATAGATGCAGTTAAAAGCTTTTGACAAAATTCAACACCCATTTATGATAAAAACTCTCCAGAAAGTGGGCATAGAGGGGACCTACCTCAACATAATAAAGGCCATATATGACAAACCCACAGCTAACACCATTCTCAATGGTGAAAAGCTGAAAGCATTCCCTCTAAGATCAGGAACAAGACAAGGATGTCCACTGTCTCCAGTTTTATTCAACATAGTTTTGGAAGTTCTAGCCATGGGACTCAGAGAAGAAAAATAAAAGGAATCCAAATTGGAAAAGAAGTAAAACTATCACTGTTTGCAGATGACATGGTACTTACTATACACAGAACATCCTAAAGATTCTACCAGGAAACTACTAGATCTCATCAGTGCATTTGGTAGTTTCAGGATACAAAATTAATACACAGAAATCTCTTGCATTCCTACACACTAACAATGAAAGATCAGAATGAGAAATAAAGGAAACAACCTAATTTACCATCGAATCAAAAGAATACCTAGGAATAAACCTACCTAAGGAGACAAAACACCTGTACTCCGAAAACTATAAGACACTGGTGAAAGCAACTGAGGATGACACAAACAGATGGAAAGATATACCATGTTCTTGGATTGGAAGAATAAATATTTTCAAAATGACTATACCACCCAGAGTAATCTACAGATTCAATGTAATCCCTATCAAATTACCAATGGCATTTTTCACAGAACTAGAACAAAAAATTTTAAAATTTTGGAAACACAAAAGACCCCAAATAGCCAAAGCAATCCTGAGAAAGAAAAACAGAGCTGGAGGAATCAGGCCCCCTGACTTCAGACTATACTACAAAGCTACAGTAATCAAAACAGTATGGTATTGGTGCAAAAACAGAAATATAGATCAATGGAACAGGATAGAAAACCCAGAAATAAACCTACACACCTATGGTCAATTAATCTATGATAAAGGAGACAAGAATATACAGTGGAGGAAAGACAGTCTCTTCAATAAGTGGTGCTGGGAAAACTGGACAGCTGTGTGTAAGAGAATGAAATTAGAACATTCTCTAACACCATACACAAAAATAAACTCAAAACAGATCAAGACCTAAATGTAAGGCTGGACACTATAAAACTCTTAGAAGGAAACATAGGCAGAACACTCTTTGACATAAATCGCAGCAAGATCTTTTTTGATCCACCTCCTAGAGTAATGAAAATTAAAAAAAAATAAACTGGGACCTAATTAAACTTAAAGGCTTTTGCACAGCAAAGGAAACCATAAAAAACAAAAACACAGCCCACAGAATGGGAGAAAATATTTGCAAATGAAGTGGCTGACAAAGGATTAATCTCCAAAATAAACAACTCATGCAGCTCTATATCAAACAAAGCCACAAACGACCCAATCAAAAAATGGGCATTAGATCTAAATAGACATTTCTCCGAAGAAAACATACAGATGGCCAAAATTCACATGAAAAGATGGTCAGCATCACTAATTATCAGAGAAATGCAAATCAAAACCACCATGAGGTATCACCTCACACTGGTCAGAATGGCCATCATCAAAATGTCTACAAACAATAAATGCTGGAGAGGGTGTGGAGAAAAGGGAACCCTCCTACACTGTTGGTGGGAATGTAAATTGGTACAACCACTATGGAGAACAGTTAAAAGCTAAAAATAGAGCTACCATATGATCCAGCAATCCCACTCCTGGGCATATATCTGGAGAAAACCATAATTCGAAAAGATACATGCACTCCAGTGTTCACTGCAGCACTATTTACAATAGCCAGGACATGGAAGCAACCTAAATGTCCATTGACAGAAGAAAGGATAAAGAAGATGTACATATATATATGATGGAATATTACTCAGCCATAAAAAAGAATGATATAATGCCCTTTGCAACAACGTGGATAAACCTAGAGGTTATCATAGTAAGTCAGACAAATATCATATATCACTCATATGTGGAATCTAATTTTAAAAATGATACAAATGAACTTATTTACAAAACAGAAACAGACTTACAGATATCAAAAACAAACTTATGGTTACCAAAGGGGAAATGTTGGGGGGAGGGATAAATCAGGAATTTGGGATTAACATACACACACTACTATATATAAAACAGATAACCAACAAGGACCTACTGTATAGCACAGGAAACTTTACTCAATGTTCTGTGATAACCTATATGAGAAAAGAATCTGAAAAAGAATGAATATATGTATACGTATAACTGAATCACTTTGCTGTACACCTGAACGGCAGGTACACTCCAGTAACATTAAAAAAAAATTTTCCTCTCTGTTCTCTACTTACTATTTAGTAGAGACAAGGATGAGGAGAAAAATAGCTAAAAGGCAGGAAGACACGCAAGAAAAAAAAACAAGAAGTGAGGCCTAGACAAGCTGAGATGGAATCCATTCCTCAGTATCTGAGACTTCGCCCAAATTAAAATCTCTTCAAAAAATCAAAGAAGGTCCCCTTTTCGTTGGAATGCCCTCCAACACCCTGAAACCTGCTGAATATGTTCAGTGAACATCTTTGGTTACAATAGTATGCTAGAACTTGGTCTTTCTGTATAGAAACAATGAAATTTAGCCATCTGAACAGATAAGCTGAATTTCTCATGTACAGGCAACTCTCTACCCTTGAGTACCACTTGCTTGGAGCTGGGGAGCTGCCCAGGAGACTGTGGGAATTATTGGTTCTTCAGAAGGAAGACTGAAATTATTTCACCTGCCTGTAGGAAGCCAGGGCCAGATAACCTGTGAAGTCCCTACTGTGCAGCCAGGACTGTGCACAGGACTTCTCATCATAAGAGGTCAAAAGACCCAGCAGACTGCTCTTTCTGACCCACGTGAATACAAGACGTGGGGGCTTTTCTACCTACCAAGTTGAAAGTCCTCTGAAGCTGAGCATCTGATTAATATACATATCATTATCATCAACAAATCATGAAGAGAAACAACTGCCTTGAGGACACTTTATAATTAATAGGAGGGAGAGGTCACTCCAGCCTACCATGCTATATCCCTTCTCTAACTAGTAAACCACTGGCTGATTCCCCCACTCCTTCTGACGCTCATGGCATGTATTTATTTACTGTTCACATATTAGTCTTATCCCCTCGAGTTGTGTACAAACTCTTTACGGTCAGGAACTATTCCTAACACATATGCTGAAGCTTTTCTTATTCCTAGCACAATGTTGGGCACATAGTAAAAAGATAATATGCTTTTTAACCTGAACTAAAGTCCATTCCAAGATGGATGACCTTGATGAGAGCCTTGTAAAGCACCTGTTACACATGGGCGTCTTACTATGAAAAACTCACGGGGGCTTTGTGGTTCCTGGGCTCCCGGGCATAAGAAAGCTCGTAGATTTCGTCTTCAGTGTAGTAGAGATCTAGGGATAACTGCAGATCAAAGGAGAACAGAGTTAATTGCTAGGATGCTGTTTGCCTTTCCCAGGGCCGATGTGTTTCTTTCTTGGTTCTTCCTCTCTAGTGGTTTACCCTTTTAGGCTGTAAGTCATTTGTTTTTAAAAATTCACAAAATTTTGGGGGTATAACATCTACCATTGCAGTAGGGCAAGCGTTAGTTTTTGTTAAAGTATTTTTAAACTTTGGAGAAGTCTCAAGATGCCCACTTTTAAACTATGGTTTAATAGCTAAGCTTCTAGGCAGAGCTTAGGCCAAAGGCCCTATCTAGTCAGATGGTCCACACCTCACGTGTTCTCTCCCAAAGCAGACGGATGATCTGAAAGGACAGTTTGCATGGCCTGATACCATTAAAATTTGATTCCAGCAACAGAACCCAGTTTAAATGAGAACAGGTAATATCAAACAATATTAAGAGTTTCATATAAGAAAAACTTTAGAGGAGAGAGGTCTTAGAAATAATCTTGTTCCTAATCTGGATTCTGTGGATGGGCTTCAGGGGGTTCAGAACTCAAAAACATCCATATTTTTGAGTATATACGGCTTACGTATATTTTGGGAGGGAAATGCTTAGTTTTCCTCACAGAATTTGTGAACCAAGAAAGCTAAGGTTCAGTGCCTCTTTCCTCAGATGATGCGGTCTAAGGCTGAAACTAGCCAAGGTCACCTGGACAATTAGCAAAAGGGCTGGGATTAGACACCAGCTGGATGCAAAGCCTGAGGCACTATCAGAATAATCCTGTGAGGTAGGAAGAGGCTACAGTGATTATTCCGTTCTGCAAAAAAAGCAGATTAAAAATTGTCTAATTTTAGAACTGAAAGAGAAGGGAGAAGTCATCGCAGAGATGAATCCCTCTGATTTTACAGAGAAGGAAACAGAGAGAGTTATGTGCCCACAGTCAGTCACACAGCTGGTGAACTACAGAATCACAGGTCTGGAAGGGAGTTCATCTGATCTCACCCCCCCACCCAAAGTGCAAATCCTGGTCTCCTGCATCACAAGTGTTCGCCTGCCCTTGGCTTAAATGTCTCTGGGATCCAAGCCAGTGGTAGCAGGACCCAAATAATGAACCTATTTTTTCCTTTTTTTTTAAACTCAATGCCTTGTCCTTTTTTTAAATGAAAACCGACTGTCTCCAATCTCTTACCAAGCCTTGTATCCTGATTTGCTATCAGCTCCTCCCAGAGAGCTTAGGACTGGCTTTTGTAGGGGGAGGGGAACACTCCTAGAGGTCCAAAGGGCATGGTGCTTAAGAGCACAGCCCCGGAGTCCCACCACCCGGGTCTGAGCCCAGGATCTGCTGCTTAATAACGTGTGGCTTCTGGAAAGTTACGTCTTTGTGCCTCAGAATCCCCATCCATAAAATGGAGGTAATGAGAGTATCCACTTCATAGAGTTCTTGTGAGGCTTAACTGAGCTGATCTTTGATGAGGTAGCGCTCAGTAATTTGTCTCCCATGGAGCCTCACCGTCAGCAGGTGCACCAGGTCCTTGTTGGCCTCCAGGGGTGGGGCCACCTCTTGCAGCTGGACCAGTTCATTGATATGATTGTAAAGGGCCAGCAGCTTGTGGACGTTCACCTTCCCCTCCTCCAGATAGTCGGGCATGGCTTCATACAGGGAGATGAGGTCCTTGAGGTGTACCCCCAGGATGGGGATCTTGAAGTGGGTGCACTCCCCGTAGGCACGCCGGTAGTTGTCATAGTTTCTGCAGGAGGACAGCAGCTCGGTCATCTCACCCAGAACCTACAAAGCAGAGGAAGGGAGCCAGTCACAGGTACCATCCAGGCAGGCTGCGTTTCTGCAGCAGCTGCCTTTTACTCTCAGCTCCTACCATAATTTCACCCCATCCCTGATTTGTCAGGCAGGGGGTGGTCCACCTAAAGGTGTAGATTCTGACTCCCCAGTTAAAACTCCAGCTTATGTCAAACATCGCAGAGTAGATTTAGAAAACGCAAGGTGTGCTTTACAACGTAACTGGAAAATTCTAGATGAGGTTTTTTTTTTTTTTTTTTTTTTTGCGGTACGCGGGCCTCTCACTGTTGTGGCCTCTCCCGTTGCGGAGCACAGGCTCCGGACGCGCAGGCTCAGCGGCCATGGCTCACGGGCCCAGCTGCTCCGCGGCATGTGGGACACTCCCGGATCGGGGCACGAACCCATGTCTCCTGCATCGGCAGGCGGACTCTCAACCACTGCGCCACCAGGGAAGCCCCTAGATGAGGTTTTATTTACCATTTTTATGCTAAAATTGTTCTTTAAAAAAATAAGTAAGCACACGATAAAAAAGATCTTAAAAGTACAAGAGTATACAGTGCATAGTAAGTGTCTCTGACTTCTACCCCAAGCCACGCAGTCCCCTTCCCTAGTGTCTTCCGAATGATTCCAAAGACACTGCACCGCACAACACTTCAAGTGTGCTGCCCACGCAGCTGGCGCGGGGAAGCGTGTTTCCAGCGTGGCGCTTCAGTCACCTGTCAAGTGGTGTTATTCCTTATGCTGCGCTCTGTGGGCCTTGGCTCGGTGAGTCTCAAGATGGGCCTATGCCTAGGAAGCAGGTGACATTCCACCCATGACCGAAACCCTAGATAGGGAGACTGAACAGACTAGACCAATTCCCAGCAATGGACCTGAGAGGACGAGGCAGAGGCCGTGGGGGGCTCTACGTTAGAGCCTGTGCTCTGCCGTGGCCAGAGGGCGTGTGGCCGCTCCCAGCACAGCAAGGGCACAGCCAGGTCTGCTGTTCCTTCCAGTGCACCTGCTTTAAGTCAGCACGCAGTTCACAGAACCCCACCCCCACGTGTGGTGACCGGCCTTCTCAGAAGCAAAGACAGGAAGGACAGACTCACGTCACAACACAAAACAACCATTTTAAACACTGTGCCGGAAATTCCTGTAATAAAATCGTGGCCTAAAGTACCCTTTCTCCCGCTGAAGAGCTTGAGGTCTGGGAGTCAGCCCCCGGCAGCCATGTGGCTGCCAAGAGAGCCTCCTCACACACCTCTAAGGAAACAGGGCGCGCGAGTGTGGAGTGTGGGAAATGCTCACAAGACGAGAGACCAGCAGCAAAGATGACAGAGGTACTTCTGTTCCCCTTGGAAGGTGACATAAACTACTGCAGGACGCTAGCTTTAATTCTGGACTTAGGAATTCACTATGCAGACCACCCCGAAGGTCAAGCAGCTACAGACAGGAAGCACTGCTATGGGGGGACCCCCAGCTGCAGAGCAGCAAGCTACATCTCGTGAACGAAATGACACGAAGGCCCTTGAAATTCTGTGATTCTCTCCCTCCGAGACACAGGCAGTCTTCAGTTGTTCTGCCAGCTCCCAGCCAGCACTATGAGGGAATTATAAGGTGACCAGACCACGGGGAGGTGGGGGTGGAGCGGTGTCCCTAGACCCCAGCATTGTCAGAGTAAGGATGATTAATAAGAGGCTTTCTGAAAGGAGGCTGAACACCTGGGAAAACGGATGTGGCACCGAGGCTCATACATCTCTCCCTAAGAAGAGAGCTCGCGAGGGGACTGGGGTTTGAGTTCAGTAAGGGAGGCCAAATGAGATGAAATGCCCAGAGCAGCTGTTATCAAACCCATACCATAAGTAGCTGCATTTATACCTGTACTATATCATAGTGGTTTACATGTGTGATAACAGCCGTAGGTATAAAGGATTAAAGTCCTTTCTATAAAATCTAATTAATAACGTAGGAAAGTACATAGGACACTTAAGAAAAATGTTCCTCAATAAAATACCACCTATTAAAAAATGGTACCTGAAAAGCTCATTTCCAACTATCTGGAAAAATTCAGCTCTCCACAATGTCACTCTCCAAGGGTTCCAGCTAGCTAGGTTTCTAACGTGTCACTAAATAACCTCACTTGACATGCAGACTGAACTATGGTCACTGAACCACTCTTCCTCGCTAGAGCAAGTGAGTTCTCACTACAGATGGTGACTCCGGATACTCAGTGGCATACGAACATGGGAAAGACACACACATTGTTTCAAATCACCAGCGGGAACGGGTGCAGTAACACTGCGGCCAGACTGAGTCACAGTCACCCTCAAATCTGTGACATCCCCGTTCCTGTCCTGTGGGTTTTCTTAGGGGTTGCTTCCTTGGTATTTTGCCTGGTTGAAAAGGGATGCTTTGGTTCGGAAATGCTCTCTGGGCTGCCCCTCAAGGAGGAAACGCTGACGCTAGTCCTAGGAATGCTGCTCAGGGGCCCGGGGGGAGACAGGAGCACTGACCTTACTGATTTCATGCGGGACATGTGCACTTGTCTCCTTGAGCCTGGAGATTGAGCTGTGACAGAGCCCTCCTATCACAGCCATCAACGTATTGAAGTTCTGTAGTTGGTGGAGCTTCTGTGACACAGAAAACACAGTCACTGTACATGTCACTTACATGGGAGCTTAGATGCTGCCTCTCATCTCTGTGTTATGAGTCTTTCTAATTCTGGCCAAAGGCTAGCAATCAGGTATTGCAATTTTCTGTCCATTTCTTTCCTAAGGCTTAATTCCAGACCAGGAGGTCCCAAATCTAGCAAAGCGTCATGTCTTCCTCCTTTAGTTTCAGCTGGTCTGTGGACCACCCTCTACAGCAGTGGCTTCTAACACCCAAAGTACTTGTTTAACACAAAGATTTCTGGACTCAAGTACAGATGTTCTGATTCCCCAGATCTGGGGTTGAGCTTAGGGATCTGTGCTTTAGTTAACATCAGAGCAGGTGGTCCATGTACCACACTTTAAGAAACACTGGTCTAGAACATCTAGAGATGAAAAAATATATCGTTCAGCATAATCCTTTATATCCTTCACCCCAAAGTAACCAGACTTTTATTTCTGAGGGCAACGCCAATGCCTATATAGGACAGTAACTGGGACAGAGATGCTAGAATCTCTGTGAAATTTCAAATATATGTTCACAGTATCTGCTTTTCTCTTATCAGATGCCTAAACTCTGTCCCTCAAACACTAAACCCAGCCATTCAACACAACATGGGCTCACAGACCTAAATCAGGCTGGTCCAGCTCCATTAAAACCTGAAATTACCCTTTCCTTTGCCATGTGGGCCACATTTGGTAAAACAATATAGGCTGGTAAGCATCTTCTGAAAAATGTTAAAGATCTAAACAGATCTAACCATATCCTGACCTTGAAGATGGCCTGTAGGGCCCTCTCTATACTGCCCTTGTGTGGGATGTAGAAGAGTTACCGTATCTAGATCTGGGGACAGGTAATAAAAGTGCACAACCCCACCCGGAGGTTCATGATGAGAAAGCAGCTCTAATGGATAGACTAGGCTGGGGGAAGAGGGGATAATTTACCTCTTAGCCCAGGCGCTAAGTCTTAATCCAGTCACTCACCTGAGCCACCTGGATGAACTTGATGAAGACTTCGGCTCGGAGCTGGGGGGTGGGACGGCTGAGAACCATCAGTTGTACCCACTGGGAGATGCCGTTACACAGGGCAATGGACCGCTCCATGGTAGGGTTCTCCTTCACGCAGCTATTTACGAGGTAATTCTGATAATCGGAGAACTGGGGAAAAAGAAACTCATCAGGACTGCCGCTCCAGTATTCTGGGAGACCCGAGGGGCTTATTACCTCTGCTGAGTTGATGGCTAGAATCTGCTAAGGGACAGAGGAGCTCTTGGCTTTCCTCTCCTGCAGACAAGGATGGTAGGAAGGACATCTTTCTTATTCTACCCACAGCATGGTCCCTCTACATCAAACGTCGTTAGGCCTAAATGGATGTGTACACATACAAGTTAACCCCAATATTATGTTGAGTAGATAGGGATAGTGCCCCTTTTCAATTCTGAAGAATACAGTATACAAGAAAAATCTCAGTACTAGTTCCAGCTATGTTGCTGAAGGTAAGGGGGAAAAAAAAAGATCATCTCACAAAATCTGTGTCACACACTCTTTTTCTCTCTCTCCTAGCTGTTTTCTTAGCTTAAAAATGGGATAGGGCTTCCCTGGTGGCGCAGTGGTTGAGAGACCACCTGCCGATGCAGGGGACACGGGTTCGTGCCCCGGTCTGGGAAGATCCCACATGCTGCGGAGCGGCTGGGCCCGTGAGCCATGGCCACTCAGCCTGCGCATCCGGAGCCTGTGCTCCGCAATGGGAGAGGCCACAACAGTGAGAGGCCCGCGTACCGCAAAAACAAAAACAAAAACAAAACCGGGATAACATCTGTCCTATTTAGGACACGGAATTGTTAGTAAGATCAAACATGATAACCTGTGAAAGCACTTTAACTTTTCAAAGTACTACATAAGTGTGAGGTGGTGCTAACAGGATATTATTAACCTCACGATCAAACAGACCTGTTTGGATTTCCCTCTATTCGCCAACTCAAGCAGGGGCGAAGTGAGTGGGGTACGTGACACTGGTTAGCTATTATTTGGAGACCACAGCTTCCCATTCACCTGGGCAATGGCATTCACTATGGCTGACGCTGAAACAAACAGCAGATGTGAAGCTGGAAATGTCCCAGAAGATCAGTGTATAAGTCATGACTGCAGCTACTGTGTCCCTGTCACAAACAATCCTTCTGCTCAAATAGTGTAACAGAGGGAGGAGAGTTTGCTCTGCTCCAGTGCTCCCATGGGAGTTTTCAGTGCTGTTCCCCAGCTATTTCCAGCTCTCCATTTCTCAACTCTGCCCTTTGAGATCAGGTGTGACCACATGACAGTTTAGCCAGGAGAATGTCAGTGGAAGTGACGTGATGACCTTTTTTTTTTTTTTTTGCAGAAACAAGGGAACTGTTTTAATAATGATGTTTATATTAGTAATAGGCACATTCCAGAAATAAAGAAAAATCCTCTCGCTGGGATTGTATTGGAACGAATGCTTTTCAGGGAAATTCTTTTAGGAAGTCGAGCACACTATCATTTCATACCCTAAAGATCTTTAGATATTTAGGAGTTGCTGATAGATGTGACGACTTTTGAGATAGAAGAGCCAGTGAATGATTGGCTATGTTGCCTTTCCAGGCTGCAGAGATCGTGGAGATCTATGTCAAGATGAAGCCTCCCACACCCAGGCTCTGAGCACCTGTGGTCAGCAGAGGCCCCTGTGCAGGAGTGAAAAATAAACTTTTGCTTTGTTAGGCCACTGAGATTGGGTGGGAAGGGTTGAGGGGGTTGTCATCAGCGTACACACCTTAGTCCTGCCTGACTAGTAATACACTGATGAGAAGATCTCATAACCTGAATAAAATGAATGCAAATTAACTGAGCCCCATTTTTCTGTGCTGTTCGCTGATGGGTGGAAAAATATGAGTAGACCAAACCTACTCCTTAAGAGAGACATATACAGCACAAATCTTACCGGTTCTAAGAAAAAGCTCCCCGATTCATTCCAGTGACTACATTTATATACCCCTCCCATTCGAAACGTAACATATTGAATCCACTTGTTTTTTAAAAGAATTATCTCAGTATAATTCTTCCCCCCTCCAAAGTATTATAATAATAAGCAGAAAATATCAAATGTCACTCAATTCATAGCAGAGATAAATTTCCCTCCCACCCTACGTGGGGAAAACTGTTTAGAACTGTGTAGGTAAAACAAAAAGATCCCCCCAAAAGTCTTCTACGAGGTGACCGTGACATTCAAAAGAAATGAAGGTTCAAGCTGATGTCTTCATTTGCAGCTAGAACCCTGCACCGACACTGGGGGAGCACTGGCGCAGAGGCCTTGTTCTGCACTGACTCTTCCCTTCCACCTCCACTGATCTGAGCCCTGGCAGGGAGCAAACAGCCCACAGGCCTGACAGAGCAGTCCTACCAGTTGGGCCCCAGTACAGCTCAGATTTCCAGTGTGATAAATGGCTCTTTTCAGTGTCCTTCCCCCGTGACACGAGAGGCACTGCCAAATGGAAACCCCCCAGGGGGAGCGGTCCAACTGGGGCCTGTGGTTCTGTCTGAGGGGAGCCAGTGAGGAGACTGGAGGTCCCCATGCAGATGAATGCTTGGAGACGTATTTCCAAATTGGGCTGGAGGGGGTGGGGAGGTTCCTGGCTGATTGGCAAAATAGCTGTGTGAAAACAGGGAGGCTGTCAACATTATGGGAGAAAAGCTATAATAACCCCTGTAACCTGGTTTGCAGCTCTCCTTCCAAACACAAGCAGCCTCAATTAATTGGTGCTGAGTGACCGAGAGAGGCTTGTGATCCTGGTCTCAGCCCTGACTCTAATAAACTGTGTGATCTGGTCCAAGCCACCCCTGGGCCTCCATCACCTCAGCAGGGAACAGGTACATCTAAGAAATGCATCCAGCAACTAGGTAGTCTCTACTTTCAGAGCAAAGCTCAGAACTGTATCTTTCCATAGCGGTGGGGGCTGAATGGAGTCATTTCTCAGGAAATCATATCGGCCAGTGAGGCTCTGTTGGCAAGTTCTCTTGTATGGAGCTGGTGTTCTTTGGTATCACATATGGAGTTTCAGTGAGCAAGGTTTGTGTCAGCAGTTTCTCTCTAGAATCAGGGGAGACTGCTGGGCCATGTCAGCACCACCTCAAGGGTTTAGGTAAATTCTGGGCTAGACCAGTAGCATCTGATTTATTTTGAGATTTCTCACAGCCATCCAAAGCCTATTCTAGAATGAATTCAAGTCCTCTTACAGGACTTAGCCTCATTTTTTTGGAGGAAAATTTAAAAAAACCATTCTGGAAGCCTAATGATTATCAGGAATAAAATGTGTGTGTGTGTGTATGCGCATGCACGTTGTGTGTACACTCACGTGTGCACGGTACCAGGTGTGCCCACAGTATTGCCACTTGAGCGAGTGGTGGGCTGAGGGAGGTGGGCTTGGAGGATGGGAGCGTGCAGCAAAGCAGGAGCAACAAACAAGGCAGCGTGTCCTGATTTTCCCAACGACACAGAGTGATGGGAAAGCCTACCAGCGCTGAGGGGGTCTCTAGGGTTAGGAGGTGGATGGCCTGTTGAATTCCTCTGCTTATTTTCAGAGATATCCCAGGGAAGCTTTTCTCCGGCCCCTTGGGTACATACAGATATCCTCCGGAAGGACTTGAACTCCAGGTAGGTAAGGTGCTCGGAGAGCTCTTCTGGTTCCAGATGGTCAAAGAGCAGGGAGACTTTTCGTTTCTTGCTGGTGTTCGATTTTATCCTTTGAGTCAGTTTCCTGGACCAGTCACGGGCATTGCTTTTGTGGGTAAAAATGAAAGGGAGAAGACAGGGAAAAAGAATAAATCAAAATTGCTTTTTAATGCAAATAAATCCATTAACGCTTCCCACAAGACTATGCAAAGCACCATTACCTAACTTTCCTTGGTCAAAGCAATGCATTAACAGTTTCCCCACATCAGTTTTTCCTACGGTGGCGACAAGGAAGCTTTGATGGTTTTCCCTGAGCCTTCTGAACGTGCCATGGGAACTGGGTAAAATGCATTTGTCTTAAGTCTGTGGGAAGGACAGAGTCTCGGGCATTGTTCACAGTGTCCTGGCTCCTCTGTGTAGCCCTGGCAGGTCTGCTCTCTCCATGCCTTCTGTGTGTTTCCTCATCTCATGAGGGTGATGGGGACTCTATGTGGTTGGAAATCTCAAGGTAGTGGGGCAGTTTTCATGCCAGAAAAGCACAGAGAACCACAGAGAGGAGATGCCATGCTGGGTAATCATGTGTAGGAACAGGTGGTCACTCTGGGCAGACTTGTGGCATTTTCCTCAAATGTCCCCAGCCACTGAAATGACCAAGGAAGTCTAGCTAACCCTAGAGTTAGCCCCCAACACATTTTCTTGTAATCAATCCACGTGTTTCTTACTCAGTTTCAATTTCCTACACTAAGGAAGCAAAGAGAAAGGTAGCAGGCTGCAGATCTGTGTTTCCCAAACCTGTATTCCTGAGAACCTTGTCTCTTGACAAAAGGGTTCTGTGGTCAAATGAGTTTGGGAAATGCTACAAATTCTGCAGCCCCCATAGCCAAAGAGCATATTACACACTCTGAGATGCATTGCAAAAAGGAAGTTCGACTCTCTCAAGTATATCTGGTCGGGCAATATCCCACTGACTAATTCCTAAAGAATATACCGTGGAAAATATTGGTAGAGGAAAGTCAGCTAGGGGTGTATTGGGATAAGGAAATCAGGGTTTGAGAACTGCCCTGGGCCCTGTGTGCTGCATTTAAAAAATGAAGACACTGTTACTGTAAAACCTTCTTTTACCTCTCAAGTTATTATAATTCTAAGCAAAGAAGTACAGAGAGTCCAACCCGCTATGTAGATTTAATTGGGACTCTGACATGTGATTTGGAAATCATTTCCACACGGCCACGGCACAGGGCACTGAGGGCTCTCACAGTCCAGATTCTGCTCTGCCATTAACTCAGCTAGCTGTGTGACCCCAGAGAAGCAAGCCTTGCTGAGCCTGTTTCCCAGGACGTTGGATAAAATCATCTTGAAAATATGTTTCAGTCCTAGAATTCTATGTCCTAGGGATCTGTATTATTCTAAAACAAAGGGGCCACATTGTGAAAACCTTAGCATATGATGAGTGTACTCTCCTCTCCCCAGATTAGGACAGGCATTCATTTTTCCAGAGTGGGACCATCTCATAAATAAGAAATCCAAGGAATAATATGCAGTACTCCTGAGATCCTTTCTATCTCTGCATAGGTCTAAGTGTCTCTTGCAGAACTTTTTGGCCTACCGAATATGTTATAAACCCTTTGCTCGATCCATTTTCCAGCAGTCCCTTCCCCATTTATAAGTGCAGGGGCCCTCCAGGCGTTAGCTGCTGAAGAGGCACCAATTTAGTCACCACACTTTCAGTTTATTGGGATTTATACAAATTTTAGTAAATATCTGGCTTCCTGATTTCTTTTTCACTGAGACTTCTTTTTTCCTACTCTTGGATATTAGTCACGTACACCGTTATCACCAGGGGGCTTCTCTGCTTTCCTGCTACATGTCAAGCTTTTCTCTTTCATGAGGCCATCTGAACCTGCCTGAGGGCTTCTTGGGGTGGGTAGAGCAGACGTCACAGCGGGACGCAGAGCCTTGCTGAGCGGCCTGGGTTGTATTACAGGAGGGAGGTGGTTTCGAAAGAGGCGTCAAAACCACGACACTCACATTTGAGTTGTGTCAATCAGGCGGCAGTGCAGCTCCTCGCCGTTAGCTTTCACCAGTTCCTGAAACTCTTCCATAGTGCTTGCCAAGCTGGCATCTATTTTAAACATGATCCAGAATTCTGTTATCCAATACCTACATGGTGGGATTTAAAAAACACAAGCCAAAACTGAAGCCAAGGACTCACATTGTGGTGGGTTCTTCCCACAAAAAGGATTCAGAAAAAGACAGGGGCTGGTTTGTTCTATATTCCTGGGAATATAGAATCTATATTCTCTACACAGAATATAAGGAACTGGAGTAGGGGTGGGGGGAAGAGAAGAAAACCACTCACTGACAATCCTCTGCGCCCCACATATTAAATGCTATGCTATGATAAGATGAATCATAATGAAGGAAGCCACTGCAAAGATTTAGGCACAACCATGTGTATCAGAGAGAATGATAAATAAGACAACGGCAGACAAACCAAACGTCCAAAGATTGGACAATGCATCTGTAAATTATACTTTATTATACCTCAGGATATTACATGGCCATTAAAAATAATGTTTACAAAAAGTTTTTAATGACTAGAGAAGATTCCTATGATTTAAAGTTAAGTGAAAACTACAGGATACAAAATTTTGTATGTATTTTGATCTCTACTATGTTAAAAAACCTACTTGGAAAGAGACAAGGGAAATATACCAAAATAGGTAGTTGGATATAAGTGATTACTACTATAGTTATATTCTTCTCTATATTTTCAAAGTGCTCTAATATGAGCTACATTACTTTTATACTTGGGAATAAAAACAAACAAAATAACCTTTCCCTTATGTCACTTGATACCAAAATGCTGTAAGGTTGACAAAAACATTGGTATAAAATATTAAGCTCAGGCACATCAGAAAAAACCGACTATGCTCTTTGAGGACTTTCCAGTACTAACAATTGCCCTTTCTGGTCTGTCCAGAGGTGTTGTATAGATGGTCAGGAAGGGAAAGGCAGGGAGGACAAGGAAAGAGCTAGAGTCTCTGGCTGTTTCATTTCACCCCACTCCACAAAGTCCCAAATGCATGCAGAAATGTTACCTTACAAAATAGCAGATCTTCAGGCAAAGCCCTGGTGAATTCTTTGCCAAGGCATCCTTATAGGTATGGCTGTGGTTAAGGGAAATGGAAGCCTCTGTTATAGAAACCAAACAACCTTTCATCTTTGCAAGTATTGCTAAAACTACCCTCCCTCCAGCCCCACATATAGTTTCTTTTAATGTTTCTTCTCTCCCTGGCCATAGGATAAAACCAACTCAATGTGTGCAGCTGTATGCTTATGAAGGGCAAAGATGGTGACTTTAGCCCATGCTGAAGTCGCTTATGGAAGAAGGCCACAGCATCTCCTCTGCAGAAGTAGGAAGTCAACAGCACAGCAATGTCCCCGCACAGGTGACCTGTAAGAAGTAAAGAAGGGGCAAGTGACCTCTGCCCATGCCCAAGACTAGGAGTCTGCTGGAGACAAGCTAAAAAGAAGAGCTTGTTCTTATCTTTTCAGCAACTGATAAAAAATCTGTGCATTGAATTAGAAGAAAGGGAAGGAATAAATATTCAGATATATTGTAATGATAATCAAGGCAATAATAGGAAAATGATAATACATGCCTAGAAAATGTCAGTAGATTGATCTTACAGGTTGTAATAGCAAGTCAGAAAAAGCCATGTGAATGATCCAAATACAACTGGAGAGCACATTAAGGATCAATACCATTCGGAATATTCCAGGAGAATGATGCCATTCTAAGAACAAGAAAGAATGGCAAAGTTCCACCAAGTTCACGCATCTCTAGAGATATATGGAAAGAATAAGTGTTTACTGTAAAGGTCACAGAAATGCAAAATCCAATCCAGTGACGAACCTGGGTGGTCCTACCCTCTTCCATCAACATACTGAGGAATCAGGCTATGTGGGCTGTGTGCCCCGCAAGACACTGCCCTCTTTCTCCTCTAAAAGCCATGTCAAATTAACCACAATCCAGGGCTCCGTGAATTTCAGCAGGGCCCCTGAGAGGAATCCACTGAGCAGCCAGCAGATGTCTCAGTTAACTGGGGCTGTGCAGTCTTCTTTCAGTGGCTATGCATATTTTAACCCTTGGAAAACTCAGACTTAAATATAGCAAAGTAAAAAACAGGCCAAATCATATTACTGATTTTTTTATTAGGAAGGGATCTATGCCTTTTGAAATCTTATATACCTGTAATGTTTAAGAGCATATTAGAACGAGAGTCTTGAAACTTCAATCTGGAATATACAATTAAGGGATTTACACTTGTGATTTTAAATTCAAATCTTATTAAGTTTATGCATAGCTTTGGAACATCTAAGGTAATGTTAGCTTTACTGTTGATAATTTAAATTTACTGAAGTTATAAAAACTATTTAGAATTCAGAAAAGCCTCTGAAGTATTTAAAAAATCTAAGATTTAAAATTACAAGTACATACCTATCAATAATTACTTTAAATGTAAATGGACTAAATGCTTCAGTCAAAAGACATGGAGTGGCTGAATGGATACAAAACCAAGATCCATATATATGCTGCCTACAAGAGATGCACTTCAGATCTAAATAGTTAGACTCTTCAAGAAAAAAAATGGGAGTGCCCAAATCAATAAAATCAGAAATAAAAAATTTACAATCAATACCACAGAAATATAAAAGAAAGTAAGAGATTACTACAACCAGTTACATGCCAATAAAATGGACAACCTAGAAGAAAGGTACAAATTCCTAGACATGTACAATCTTCCAAGACTGAGCCGGGAAGAAATAGAAAATATGAGACCAATTACCAATAATGAAATTGAATCAGTAATTTAAAAAAAAAAAAAAAAAAAAACTCTCAGCAAACAAAAGTCCAGGACCAGATGGCTTCACAGGTGAATTCTACCAAACATTTAGAAAAGAGTAAACACCTATCAAACTATTCCAAAAAACTGCAGAAGAAGGACCACTTCCTAACTCATTCTATGAGGCCAGCATCACCCTGCTACTAAAACCAGTCAAAGATATCACAAAAAAAGAAAATTACAGGCTAATATCAGTGATAAAAATATGATGAACATAGATTCAAAAATTCTCAACGAAATATTAGCAAACCAAATACAACAATACATTAAAAGAATTATACACCATGATCAAGTGGAATTTATCCAGTGAATGCAAGGATAGTTCAATATCCACAAATCAGTCAAACTGAAGAATATATAAATAAAGAATAAAAATCATATGATCATCTCAATAGATACAGAAAAGGATTTGAGAAAATTCAACAATTTATGATTAAAAAAAACTTTCCATGAAGATGTGTAGAGGGAACATACCTCAACGTAGTAAATGCCATATATTATAAGCCCACAGCTAACATCATACTCAATGGTGAAAACTGAAAGAATTTCTTCTACAATCAGGAACAAGACAAGGATGCCCACTCTCACCGCTTTTATTCCTAGCCAGAGCAATCAGACAAGAAAAAGAAACGAATCCAAATTGGAAAAGAAGAAGTAAAACTGTTACTGTTTGAAGATGACATGATACTATACATAGAAAATCCTAAATATACCACCAAAATACTACCAGAGTTCATCAAAATTCAGTAAAGTTGCAGGGTACAAGATTAATATATAAAAATCTGTTGCATTTCTATATACTAACAAGGAACTATCAGAAAGAGAAATTAAGAAAACAATCCCATTTAAATCACATCGAAAAGGATAGAATATCCAGGAATAAATCCAACTATGTAAGTAAAAGACCTACAGTCAGAAAACTTTAAGACACTGATGAAAAAAATTGAAGATGACAGAACAGATGGAAAGATATACCATATTCATGGATTAGAAGAATATCGTTAAAATGACCATACTACCCAAGGCAACCTACTGATTCAATGCAATCCTATCAAAACACCAATGGCATTTTTCACAGAAAACAAATAATTCTAAAATTCTATGGAAAGAAAAGTCCCCAAATAGCAAAACAATCTTGAGAAAGAAGAACAGAGCTGAAGGTATCACACTCCCGGACTTCAGACTATACTACAAAGCTACAGTCATCAAAACTGTATGGTGCCAGCACAAAAACAAACAAGTAGATCAATGGAACAGAATAAAGAGCCCAGAAATTAACCCACACACTTATGGTTAATTAATCTAAATCAAAGGAGGCAAGAACATACAATGGAGAAAAGACAGTCTCTTAAATAAATGGCATTGTGGAAACTGGACAGTTACATGCAAAAGAATCAAACTGGACTATTCTGGACACTATGCAAACTGGACACCGTGCACAAAAATGAATTCAAAACTGATTACGAACTTAAATGTAAGACCTGAGCTGCCTGGAAGCAGAGAGGCAGCATATCCAAAGGGCTGCCTCCATAGTGTGGAGTTCAGGAGTTTGGAGAGCCCTTTGGGGGTCCCAGTTTTACCTAAGAGATGTCAACTTGAGAGTGTGCTGAACTTCACCTTATGCTCCCATATCACGTGTAGTCATCAAAGTGTTTTCTCTGCGGTTTCACAGACATTCTCAGAGGGGAATCAGGAAGATGGTGGAAGAGTAAGAGGTGGAGATCACTTTCCTCCCCACAGATACACCAGAAATACATCTACACGTGGAACAACTCCTACAGAAGACATACTGAACGCTGGCAGAAGACCCCAGACCTCCCAAAAGGCAAGAAATTCCAGACATACCTGGGTAGGGCAAAAGAAAAAAGAATAAACAGAGAAAAGAATAGGGACAGGACCTGCACCTCTGGAAGGGAGCTGTGAAGGAGGAAAGGTTTCCACACATTAGGAAGCCCCTTTGCGGGCGTAGACTGCAGGTGGTGGAGGGGAAAAGCTTCAGAGCCACGGAGGAGAGCACAGCAACAGGGGTGTGGAGGGCAAAGCGGAGAGATTCCGTCACAGAGGATCGGTGCCCACTGGCACTCACCAGCCCGAGAGGCTTGTCTGCTCACCTGCCGGGGCAGGGGTGACTGGGAGTTGAGGCTCGGGCTTCGGTTGGAGCGCAGGGAGAGGACTGGGGTTGGCGGTGTGAACACAGCCTGCAGGGGGTTAGTGCACCACGGCTAGCTGGGAGGGAGTCCGGGGAAAAGTATGGACCTGCCGAAGAGGCAAGAGACTTTTCTTCCCTCTTTGTATCCTGGTGCACGAGGAGAGGGGATTAAGAGCTCTGCTTAAAGGAGCTCCAGAAACGGGTGTGAGCCGCGGCTAACAGTGCGGACCCCAGAGACAGGCATGGGATGCTAAGGCTGCTGCTGCCGCCACTAAGAAGCCTGTGTATGAGCACAGGTCACGATCCACACCTGCCCTCCCGGAAGCCTGTGCAGCCTGTCACTGCCAGGGTCCTGGGATCCAGGGACAACTTCCCCGGGAGAACACGCGGCACATGTCAGGTTGGTGCAACGTCCCGCCAGCCTCTGCCACTGCAGGCTCTTCCCGCATCCATACCCCTCCCTCCCACTGGCCTGAGTGAGCCAGAGTCCCCGAAGCAGCTGCTCCTTTAACCCTGTCCTGAGCGAAAAACAGACGCCCTCCAGCGACCTACACGCAGAGGCAGGGCCAAATCCAAAGCTGAGCCCCGGGAGCTGTGCGAACAAAGAAGAGAAAGGGAAATCTCTACCAGCAGCCTCAGAAGCAGTGGATTAAAGCTTCACAATCAACTCGATGTACCCTGCATCTGTAGAATACATGAATAGACAATGAATCATCCCAAATCAGTCCAAATTGAGGAGGTGGACTTTAAGAGCAAGGTTTATGATTTTTTTCCCCCTTTTCCTCTTTTTGTGAGTGTGTGTGTGTATGCTTCTGTGTGAGATTTTGTCTATATAGCTTTGCTTTCACCATTTGTCCTAGGGTTCTATCTGTCCGTTTTTTTTTTTCTTTTTTAAAAAAAATTCTTAATTATTTTTTATTTTAATAACTTTATTTTATTTTATCCTACTTTATTTTATTTTATCCCCTTCCTTCCTTCCTCCCTCTCTATTTCTTTTTCTTCCTTCCTTCCTTCCTTCCACTTTCTTTCTTTCTACTTTTTCTCCCTTTTATTCTGAGCCGTGTGGATGAAAGGCTCTTGGTGCTGCAGCCAGGAGTCAGTGCTG